CAAGGCCAGAAAACATGGCTTGGCCGTAGCTTAGCAAGGCAATGGCCGTATTACTTTAAAAATAAGTCAATGCCTACACCACTTTTAATAACTGTATATTTTATTTTATGCTTATACCAATATTAATGTTCTGTAATTACCATCCTTATTGCTAAATCTTTGCATGTATTGTTTCCTCAAGATCAAGTCTTACTGTGGCTTTTCCACAAGAACAAAACAGTATATTCATAGGAAAACAACTTACATTGAATAAAACGTGTGCCTTTATATTTTCAGATGTACTGGCAAATGTTTTGTTAATATTTTCCTAACAGTCCTCAAAATGTCATAAAATGAATTTAAGTTTAAAAGTCTTACATGCACAAAGGGTTAGGAAAATATTTGTGTTTTTCTGTTTTCATTTTGGAAACATCACAGGAAATCCACATTGAATTAACTGCTTTTTATAATTGGCCTGGTCACAGGGAAAAGATGAGGACTCAAGAATATTCTCACTGTATCATAGTGTGAAATTAAACTGGGGTTACGGCCATCAAAAATGGAAAATTCCTATTATCAGTAGATGTCAACTGTTAACACAATGTTTATGTGGTCTATAGGATCATACTTTAATAACTTATAAATTATTGCTGTAATCTCAAAGATCATTCAATGTGAGCCTGGTGTTGCTGGAATAAACATCTAACAGATATACCAATTTGGGGAGCGTGGCCTCAGAATTGCCAAGGTGCAGTGAAATACATTTCACAAGTACAAAAAGGGTGTTTTAAGTAGCACTGAAATTAAAGCTATTCTCAAATTACGAATGCTTCGTACAAGAGGGGACCCCAAAAAAGTCAGAACTATTTTCTGTGGGGCAGGCCCCTTGTAGTATAGGCTTCCTCCGATAGGTAAATGTTCAGGGAAGCCGTCAGCATCAGTGTACCAGCTAGTGTTGTTGGGAGAGGCTGTGTTTGGCTTCAGTAAATTTTTTCGGGAACGTCTTTCAGTGCATTTGCCCATTTCCTGATACAAGCGCACTTGCCCACACTGTACTGTGTGTTCAACAGTTTCTGATCGAGAAGGGCATGACCCTCATGCCTCACCCTCTCTCTTCAAAGCGACTTTGTTTTGTTTCTCCAGGTGAAAAAATTCTTCAAAGGGAAACATTTTGTTGATGGGGAAGAGGTGAAACGAAAAGATGGCAGAAGCTGGGCTCGGTGGCTCAGCCTGTAATCCCGCGCCCTGGGAGGCTGAGGTGAGTGGATGGCCTGAGCCCGCGGGTTCGAGACCCGCCTGGGCAACTTGGCGAGACCTCGTCTCTGCAATCAATCAAAAATCAGCCGGGCGTGGTAGCGCGTGCCTGTAGTTCCGGCTGCTTGAAAGGCTGAGGCCGAAGGATCGCCGGAGCCCGGCGGGTCGAGGCTGCGGTGGCCGGGAGCGGCCGCTGCACTCCAGTCTGGGCGACAGAGTGAGACTCCGACTCAAAAAAAAAAAAAAAAAAGAAGATGGCAGAAGCATTAAAAGGCGTGAAAATTGACAAGTTCAAAAACTGTTTTGAGCAGTGATAAAAAGTATCTTGACAGGTATGCTGCATCAAATGGACAGTACTTTGAAGGTGACTGAAATTTAAACATGTAAGTATAAAGACACAATTTTAATAAATAAATTCCGGGTTTGGGGGGGTACCCCCTCGTAGATGCAATTTCCCACATCAATCAGGAGATCAGAACGTATGCAGAATATACCAATATGTCACTGGTAGAGCATATGACTGCGGAATACACCAACGAAACAAGCGGAGACCTGGGTATGTATGTTTAAGTTTTAATAGTTGAGAAAATATAAGTTAAAATGTGATACAAATACTGCTGGCACAAGAAAAGAATAGACCCAATTTTAGATTCCAGTGATATCAATATGCTCTGAACTAGACATAGAAAATATCATTAACCACCCGCTGTTGAAGCTTGTTAAAGATGCAACAGATTTTTCATCAGATAGAGATAAAAAGATTGCAGAAAGAACATTTTTTCTTTTAAAATTTCCCTTATCATTAAGAATTGGAAATGGAGTACGGAGAGGAAAGTTAGAGGTCATCTAATTTATCAAAGCATTTTGAAGACATAAATCTTAAATTCATACTCCAAGCCCAAATAACATTTAATTTGTTCTGAAGTTTAATTTTCCATATTAGTCATGTTAACAAATTATAGCAAATGAAAAGGTATTCCATTTTTTTGAAGGCATGCATTGTTTCTTCTCCTAGGTACTTCAGAAATTTAAGCTTAATATTCATTTTATTAAACATGAAACAAAAAATAATGTATAAAATCTTGCACAATATTTTAAAAAAGGAAGCTTCTTTCCAATTTCAACAATGAGAAAAGCTGTTCTAAAATCGTGAAAATGATTAGAAACACTAGCTCTTTTAAAATAATTTCAAAATATATTTGAAGATTAATTATCTTTCAGGCACTGTTTATTCAAACAAGACCTTTAGTTTGGGAGGGTAAACTATATAACAGGAGAAATTCAATTTCCTACTGATGAAGAATAGAGCTATGTATGCATTGACTTCCTATTTTTCAAATAAAGTTATCTGATTAATTCTGGAACCTGTGTCAGATGCCTATGGGATACTTTTATTCCTGATTACTCTCAAGACTTAATGTTTATATACTGTAAACAATGTAAACTACATATTGTAAAATCTACTTGGATACATAGGTTGGCAACGATACCATTTGCTTTTTTTACGTTCTAAAAGTGACTGATACAAAAGTGTTGTTTGGTCTTGTAAGGGAATAAACTCCTTCTTGATGATAAAATTCTTCCTCTTTGAAAGATGAAGTAAATATTTCTGAACACTAAAAAAAGTAAAGCTTCTAGCATCTCCTGAATACTGATTTCATTTTCCAAAGATGCAAATATTCTAAGTTCAGATCAACAGCAGAACTAAACAAAATTCTTGACAACTGTCTCTTTTGAGAAGAGAAGCCTCAATTATTCCAAAAATGAGCCTACAAATATCTTTAACTGTACTCCTCAGGCAAAAGATCACTTATATTTACACAGTTTTCTTGCATTATAATCTGCAAAAGATCAGCAGCTGGATTAAAATGCATATTCTATGATTGTACATTTGTGTAAACGGTTATTTTTTATTTAGAAAACACATATGCTTAAAACAAATAGAAAAACTCGATATTGAATATAATCACTTGTGATCATTGTTAATACTGTAGTTATTAAAAATATCCTTAAAACTTCTCAAAGTACATTAATAATTTTTAAATAGTCACAATCCCTTAAAAAATAAATTATTTACAGGCATCACCATGGGTCGATGGGGTCTCTGCAGCCATCACATAAGCTGGACAGGCTTCTTGGGAAAGACTGTTCCGAGTGGAGAGCCTTGCACAGGGCGCCTGCGCTGGGAAGCCCACAGTTGCATGGCTTTCTAGAGAAGGGAACGTCACTGGAGAAACAAATCAAAACTGGGATGGCTGTGCTATCCAGAGGGAAATAGTCTCATGATAGAATTTCTATACAGTGTCACCCTAAAATCCTGTTAATATCATCTTAATTTTAAGACTGTTAAGATAATTCTGATGTTAAAACACATTATTTTAATGCAAAAATGCCTATCTGCACTCATAGAAAATTACATTATAAAAATTATTTTTAATATGCTATAAGTTACTAAATCAGTTTTCCATCATTGCACACCATCCATTGAAAATATAAGGTGTCTAAGTTTTTATAGGTCATATCTTTAAAAAAATTTTTTTACCAAACTTCAGTTTATGTTCTAATAAGTTAACCTGCTTTCTTTTATTTATTTATTTATTTTACCAAAAATATCGATAACAAAATATTACCAATGTTAATACAAGCCATGTAAAATAGTCAGTTCCTTCTGACTTGGAAAGCTTGAAAAAATTTAAATAATAAAAATTCAGCCTAACCCAGAATCATCCCCAGCTAATCAGCAGCAGCCATGAGTATTTAGTATTGGTGGATCAGGCAATCCTGATCAGGAAATTAGGTGCCTTTTCTGGGACAAGTGTCAAACTGTTGCTTTTTTTAATGAAATGCAATTAACTAATAGTAAGAGTACCACTTGATACCAGCGGTTATGTAAACTCCGTATTTAATACATATTCGAAAATGCAGGGCCGGGCTCTGTAGCTCAGCCTGTAATCCCAGCACTTTGGGAGGCTGGGGCGAGAGAATTGCCAGAGCTCGGGGGTTCGAGACCAGCCTGGGCAACTTGGCGAGCCCTCGTCTCTACAATAAATCAAAAACGAGCCGGGCGTGGCAGCGCGCGCCTATAGTTCCAGCTACTTGGAAGGCTGAGGCGGAAGGATCACCGGAGCCCAGCAGGTCGAGGCTGTGGTGGCCGGGAGCGGCCACTGCACTCCACTCTGGGCAATGGAGTGAGACTACCATTCAAAAAAAAAAAAAAATCAAAAATTAGCCGGGCACGGTAGCACACACCTGCAGTTCCAGCTACTTGGAAGGCTGAGGCAGATGGACCACCAGAGCCCAGGAGGTCAACCCTGGGGTGGCCGTGAGTGTGTCACTGCACTCCAGCCTGGGCGACACAGTGAGACTCTGACTCAGCAACAACAAAAAAAAGTGTTTAATAAAAAAATTTAAAGGTGAGAAAAAAAAAAGAAAACACAGCAACAACAGTTACAACTCTTGTAGTGTTACTAGCTTTTACATTTCCCTTAAAGGGCAGACATTAACAAAGATGCTATGGATTGCAAGTCATATAAGTGTCTACTACTAATAAAGTTTTGGGGTTACTTTACAACCGTTTACCTCTGTAGGGTGCACTCAGGTAAGTGAATTCTGATGAGCCTTTGGCTCATCCCAGTCTCCATCCCCTACCTGGTACTCAGTGTCTGCAACCTATTTGGACAAGCACGGATAGGAGAAACTTTGAGGATGTGACGCCAACACATTCCCTCTCCTCCTTTCCTGTCTTCTTTGAGATGACACATCTGTACTTATTTCCTAGGTTTCTTACTTCCCGTCATGACAAAATAATGGTCGTCATCACCCTTCTTTGCAGTAGGTTTCTTATCACCACTCTCTGCTTCCTTACACGACGAGGGTGGTTTCCTGGCTGAAGCTGGGGTTCTGTCACCTTTAGGGGGCCCTCTGGCTGAACGCGGGCCCTTCATGGCCATCTGTGCTGACTCCGGCCCAGCCTGTGTCTTGGCGGGGGACTGGGGGAGGCTCACGGTGGACAGTGGGGTGCGGCCAGGAGACTTGGAGTGGCTGCGCCCAGGCTTCTGGCACGTGCTGTTACTCTGAGGCTGCTTTTTGGCAACTGGACCTGTACTCTTATCTTTCGATTTCAGTGCAGCTGAGGATGCCGGAACTGGCTGATTTAAGTTCAAGGCCGGTTTAAGTTTTTGTGCCGGGACTGGCCTCGTTTGCGGGGCTCCAGCAGGTGGCTGAGACTGTGCTCCCAGCCCTGTGTCTACGGTTTTAGAACTGGGTTTTGATGTCTTTGAAGAAGATGGGTAAGGAGGTGGTTTGGTCCTTACATGTATATTCTCTTTAGGCAGCTTGGGACACTTGGCAGATGAACTTAAATGTGCAGCTAAGTGAAATACTGGATCGCCCCTGGAAGAAATAGGATTGTGTTTCAAAAACTTTGCTTCGGTTTTTCCAGAACACTTATTTAGCAGATCTCTTGGCTTTGGCGCTGGAAGAACCTTGGCCTTAGGAGTACTGGGGGATGCGACACATTTTCTCACTGACTCAGATACACACAGAGTAGTTCTTGATAGAGCTGGTGAGGAAGTGTTTTTGCCTGTGGGATTTAAAGAAGCAAAGGAAGACGCTGCATTGTTTGAGGGCCCATGTGGTTTCTTCATTACGCCTTTTGAGGACTTGAGCTTGAGCTGAGAAGATGCAGCTGGAGGACTTGGGAATTTAGGGCGGACCGACACAGAGCCCAGCTTGCCTCCTCTCGGGGAGGATGCCGGCAGCAATGCACCTGGCGGACGTGCCTGTTTTTCCTTGCTCTTTGGAACACCAGCTGGCATGCCAGGTTTTGAATTCTGTTTCTGAAACATGTTAACTGCTGACAAAGGATTCATTTCAGGGGGCTGAGGCGTTCTGGCGGGCACATCAGGTACGCTTTCATTAGAGACTCCTTTCTGAAATGCTAAAATTTTTTGTTCTAGCGTAGCAAACTGTAATATCCGACAGGGGTCATACTTCAGCAGAAATCCTTGGAGAGTATCCCAGCCTCCACCGACGCGAACCATGACATGCTTTCCATGAAGCATCTGTCCCCAGGAGAGCAAAAAGTAAAGCTGTAAAATGGGGAGGTTTACAGGTAGAGCTCATGGGCAGCCACAGTCGTGAGGTCTGTGGTCCATGAAATTCAGACAATTTGCCAACAGCTCCACTACAAACTGACTGTCTCCTTCTTGCATTATTAATATAGTAAGTTTAACTCGTACAAAATTATGCAACTAACAATGCAAAGGCATCCAGTTTTGGAAGGAAGATACTTACACGTAACTTGCACCCTAAAAATCCAAGTTATCAATATACAGAATTGCAAGGGCAATATCATTCAATGAAGAGTTGAATACCGAACAAAGGAAAGCGAGAAGGAAGGGGAAGGAGAAAAGGAGAAACAGAGACCTACAGGAAAAAAGTGTCTCAGAATAGAGAGAAAAATAATGTGGAAGAAAGGCCAAAGTGATTGTACTTTACAGTTTAATAACTATTGTCTTATGGATTATGTCAATTTAATCTTTAAAACACTTTAGTATAATTTATTATTAATTCTTCTTTGCAGATGAGAAAACTCTGCTTCTGAGAGATGAAGGATTTTGTCCCAAATCATACAGCTTGGCCTGGCCTCCAGTACACTAAGCTGCCGCTCACTAAATGGCATTTTTGTGGGGCTGAGACACGCCCTGGCTCTGCCAACACACTACAAGCTGGATTTCAGGCCCCCGACTACTCAGCAGGCAAATCGGCACAATTACACGAGATGGCCACACCTTGCAACTTAAGTCCTCTGCTCTGGGCACCACCACGTTAGACTGCCTTAGAAAAGAAAGCAAATTGCAAGAAAGTACACGTGGATGTTTCTGGGTGGGGATGGGGAGGTGATGATAATGTACGAAACAGAAGAAAATATAGATGGCAAAATTATGTTTTTAAATACCTCTATATTATTTTCCTAAATTGGAAATAAGACAGTTTGGGGTTTATTTTTTGTTTGAGTTGAGGTCTCACCCAGGCTGGAGTGCTGTGGCAGGATCACAGCTCACCACAGCTTTGACTTCCTGGGGTTCAGGCAATCCTTCTGTCTCAGCCTCCTAAGTAGCTAGGTCTACAGGGGCATACCACCATACTTGGCTAATTTTTTTTTTTTTTATAGAGACGAGGCTTTGCTATGTTGCCTAGGCTGGTCTCAGACTCCTAGGCTCAAGCAATCCTCCCACCCAACCTCCTGAAGAGCTGGGATTACAGGCATAAGACACCACACTTGGTCAACAGTTCTTGCATTGTAGCAGAAGCAGAAAGAATGCTGAACAGGTGAAATTTCAATCTCCATACCAAGAGGGAACAATTAATCAACTGTGGACAGGACAAAGGGAAAAAAATGAACATACTGGCTCACAGCCTAATGCTGGGTCCATGAGAAGATGATTTGAAGCTTAATGCCCAAAGTATGTATTATTATAAATGGCAGTGTTTCTATTTCCTTTTCTTACAATGATACTCAATCTTATTAGATGTTTTTTTCTCCTTCTTATAATGGAAATTATTCCTTTTTAGAAAATCAGAAAATGAAGTCAGTTCCCTGAGGTGTACAAAGGCTTCCCCCCCACCAATTATATTCACTGTCTACATAGCCTTGGCCTTCCTGAAGCTACGCTTGCTGTGTAAAGGAGATCAAGCACTGCATAATTTTCCTATACAGTGAAAACTACTCTAGCAATAGCACCTTCCATACCAATATTTTAGAAAGCAAGAGGGGGGTGGGGGGCAAAAGGAGGTTGGTAAAGCAGTAAGCCCAGTGTCAAAACCAGAGCTGTGGGCAAACAGGATATAGACCATGGACTTACTCTGATGAAGAGTATTTTATCCCCAAGTCGGTATCGCCCTTCAGATAAGTACTCAATGGAAAATCGATGTGAGCAGCTACAGGGAGGGTCCTCAGCAATATGCGTAACCTGGGATTCAAAGTCAACAACAAAATGTAGTACTTGTCTCGGAAAGCATTTTGCTTAAAATTAAAACACGATGTTATTTGATACCAGGAAAATCAAAATCAAAGATAAAGAAACAAAGAACTGAGTACCACATGTTCTCACTCATAAGCAAACCCTAAACATTTACCATAATACTATCAGAAAGGGGTTGGCAGTAGCCAGAAAGTGCTGGGGGCAGGGGGGAGGGAGCATATAACATTAATAAGCATACCTGACCTCAAAACCAGGCAAAGTGGGGACCAAAGGGAGGTCCAAACTTTACCTGTATGATGACAACTTGTACACCTAATTCTGAATTGTACCCCACATCTTTAAAATAAAAAATAAATTATCTGTAATTTTTAAAAAAAGATCCAAAGGCAGTTTATTTACTATCTCTTTCCATCTGCTTGTTAACAAATGCTGAGCTTAGACACAGCTGATCTAACATAAAAGCAGCAGTGATGCCACCTCTGTCCAGGTGCAGATGCCAGTGCTGCAGAAAGTCTTCCCACATGTAAGGCAGTGAAGTCCATTAACAGCCCTTACTGACTTTTAGGAAACATTTGAGTTCATCATTATGCTGGAATTGTTTCAAGCCCTGATTTAGTCAAATCAAGACTTGGCCCTTAACAATAACCTAAGCTAATACTGTGGGGAAAATATCTAGATTTTTCTAAAGTTATTTTAAAATAGGCAGAGGCATATTCACCCAAGGCTGAGTTAAAGTCTTAAAAATTCCAGTTTAAGAAGCATTTTCTCAAAGCGCTTGCTCTGTTTCAGTCATCTGCTGAGGAGACAGGAGTCAGAGCAGAAACCTTACTTCAATCTTCACGGAGCACACAGAATTTTTTATTGCAGTAAATATTTTTTAAATGGCAGAACTGCAGTATGAGGAGAAATTCAAAAATTCTATACATAAACATGGAAATTAAAATAAACTGATTAAATGAAGATATTTGTTGAAAGATCTATGATTGAAAAAATGTCACATATAACATCAGCCAATGTAGAAAATATTTGGCTTTTCCTAAAATTATATTTTTGAAAAAGCAAAGTCATTAATATTATTCTCAGTTATCGTCACACAAAGTATATCTAAATAAAAATTCATAAATGAATTGATCTTAGGCATGATGTGAGAGAAATCTCTTCGGCTATGCCTAATTTAGCTGAGTACAAATAGAAAGGTGTATGATTGTCTTAATTATCTACCCAAAATGAATAGGCTCTTGTGGATTCACTAAGGTCTCATAAGAAAGGTCCAGAATTTGTTTGTTTTTCTATGTCACTCATTTAACAAAAAAAGTACTTATAAACAAGTAGAAATGACTTTCATAAGTCTTTCAATCAAGTTTATCTTGTTCGCATCCTGGGTATATGTGCACATGTGCATCCACGTTCACACACACACACACACACGTATAAAAGAGTTAGAAATAAACTGAACTCAAGAGAAGGCGCTTATAATTATTAGAACCATGATCATACTTGGTTAACCAAAATAATTTGAAAGGAGACATTTCTGCTAGTCACAACTTGCTGTCTGTAAAAATTTCATAAGTATACAGAATTGCAGTTGCATATACCTTAACAGGACCCTAAATGATGAATCAGATAATAACTGATCCTTCTATTAACCATGACCCCCAGATATCTGAAGATCACATATGTATAGGTGGATACTGAATATATCCAAGTAGCACAAGTATATTTGGAGAAATGTGTTTCCTCTTAGTTTTCATAATAAGAACACAGATGTAAGCAGTCACTATTTTTCTTGTTTAAAATATCCAAATACCAGGGAAAGGCGGGGGGATTTAAAAAGTCCAAATACCACTTATACTGAGCAGTACAAATCAGCACTAGACTTCAACCAGAACAGGCAGTGAGCCTAAAAGTATAAGAGCTGTGGACAAGAACTGCTTTCTTCTGGTTTTATTTATTACATAATTAAAATGACCACACTATGGAAATTAAAATCATCCACATGCTGGGCTCGGTGGCTCAGCCTGTAATCCCAGCACTTTGGGAGGCTGAGGTGACAGGATTGCCTGAGCCCATGGGTTTGAGACCAGCCTGGGCAACTTGGCGAGACCTCGTCTCTACAATAAATTTTAAAAAATTAGCCGGGCATGGTAGCATGTGCCTATAGTTCTGGCTACTTGGAAGACTGAGGCGGAAGGATTGCCGGAGCCCAGCAGGTCAATGCTGGGGTGGCCGTGAGTGTGCCACGGCATTCAAGCCTGGGCAACGCAGTGAGACTCCAGCTCAAAAAAAAAAAAATCATCCACAAAAGCACTGCATTACTATCAACTATTCTCATTCTCGTTTCTGTACAGTTTGTCCATATATACAAACATTTTTCAAGAAAAAAACATTTTTCTTGTTGCTACATAGTTGTCATAATGATCACATAAAATGATTACTCTGTTAAGATAACGAATTCTAATTTACCAAGCCATTACCCCATTTGACGGTATTCATATTACTCTTCATTTTTCACCATTATAAATCATAATGCAATAAACATTTTCATTTATGCTTTTTCCCCTTTTCAACTACAATAAAAATGGAAAAGGAATATTTTGTAGTTCTTACTGCCTATTTTCAATTTATTTTTTAGAGCGTCACATCATTTTCAGTCAGGTACGGTGGCTCACACCTTATGTCGGCACTTTGGGAGGTGGAGGCAAGACGACTGCCTGAGCCCAAAAGTTTCAGACCAGCCTGGCAACTTGGCAAGACCTCATCACTACAATAAATCAGAGAATCAGCTGGGCCTGGTGGTAAACGCTTGTGGTTCCAGCTTCTTGGAAGGCTGAGGCGGAAGGATTGCCTGAGCCCAGCAGGTGGAGGGTGCGGTGGCTGTGTGTGACAGCGTGAGACTCTGACTCAAAAAAAAAAAAGTTTACATCATTTTCCATTGCCAATTGCAAACCCTAAGTATAGCTTACCAGAGTTTATTGGCATCAGGTTTCAAAATTTTAAAGAATTTTGCTGATCAGGCAAAAAGTACTTCATGGCTGTTTTAATCTAATTTCCCTAATTATCAGCAAATTTCAACGCTGTACTTTCTTCTTGTGTGAACACAGTCCTTGCCCATTTATCTACTGGAAATGTTTTTCTTGTCAGGTTTTGTATGGTCTCTGTTTAATAGGGAAATGAACACACTGTGTCTCCCACTTCACAAAAATATTTCCCCAATACTTCCTTTTTATTTAATTATCATCCTTTAAGGTTATATGAAACTCAAAATAAATTTTATTTTCTACCTATTACATTATTTCTGTTTCCATATTGATAGTCACGGGTCATTGTATCTATCAGTAATGTAAGGTAGGTAAATATATTTTGGCCTGACAAAAGCGTTGTTCAAGCTGACATCATCTGTCTTGCAAGGCTATCTAAATGTTTTACTATTGCCTTTTATTACATTGAACAAAACAATTAAAATACTTTCTAAATATTTGTTAGTAATGACATTATTTCTTAAGTAGCTTGGTGCATCAAGCACTTTTATAAAGTGCTACAAACCTTTGGGTCATTCTAAACATGTCAAAGCAGAAAGTGTCCAATGTTCAATTCTTCTCCATTGCTGATATTGTCACCACTGCAGAAGACCTGCAGCCTGAGCAGTAGCAATTCTAGTAACTTCCACATAACCAACAGGTAAAGCCAAGACTGTCCGCTGTGACCCATCATCTAACAAGTCTGCATACAATCCGTCAAGGGAGAATACTCAGAAAAGCCCCATCAATTTTCGCTCACAACTCTTCCTTCTCCTATACCCTCTAAGAATCCGTGTACCTTTGACTTAGAAACCTCGGACAAATGGCTGGACGCAGTGGCTCAAGCCTGTAATCCCAGCACTCTGGAAGCCCGAGGTGAGAGGGCTGCCTGAGCCCACGAGTTCGAGAACAGCCTGGGCAACTTGGCAAGACCTCATCTCTACAATAAATCAAAAAATTAGCTGGGTATGGTAGCGTGCACCCGTAGTTCTGGCTACCTGGAAGGCTGAGGCGGAAGGATCGCCTGAGCCCAGCAGGTTGAAGCTGGGATGGCCGTGAATGTGCCACTGCACTCCAGACTGGGCAACAGAGTGAGACTCCAACTCAAAAAAAGAAAAAGAAAAGACAAGAAACCTTGGAAATCATCCTTGATATTCTCCCTCACAACCAGTCACTAACTCCTGTCAAGTCTCCTAACAATTCCTCCTAAATATGTCTCGTCTCCGTTCCTTTTGTTCCCCCTCCACTACTGCTGCTCAAGGTCAAGCTCTCATCATCCTATGCCTGGCTTTTGACCACAAAACCAATATAACCTCTACATGATCATAAGCATAATCACTAAAATTTGCAAATCAGATTATAATACTACCCGGCTTAAAAAAAGAATCCTTGAGCCTGTAGTGCTCTTCATGGTGGGCTCAAGCCTATTTGTCCCACCACTTCTCAGCTGCATGTTGTTTCCTCATCAGACACAAGCAATAACAAATCTCCTTTAAAATATGGCGCCCTGAACTCATCAGGGAGTGGAAGATAGCACTGGTTTATATTCTGAACAAGAAACACCTTCTTGGACACACAGCATCCCCCGTAGCAAAGTAGAAGGCACGAGGTGGGGGTGGCACAGGACACCTCAAGTGCCACAGTCAAAAGGAAGTGTGGCGACTACTCACAGCTTCATGCAGCTCTTCATGCTGACAGCACGATTTGGGAATGCTGATGGAATCTTCAGGCCCGGAAGTATTAAGCAAGGTCTCTTCTAACTCAATTTCTTTCTCAAGTTTTACTAATACCGGTGGCTCAACCCCATATCTGAAAACCAACCAGAGATATTATCATTCAAGCAAAACTGACCCAATCACTTCTCTGTATATCAAGGTAGATATTTTATTTTTAATGTCTCACAGATTGCCAAAATCCAGATTATATTCTTCACATCACTGCATATATTTGGGTTACTAGATGCTCCCAGTATTTTAGCTGTGATCCTGGAAGGCAGCTTTAAAATCAGCTGGTGAGCTGGGCATGGTGGCTCACGCCTGTAATCCCAGCACTTTGGGAGGTCAAGGTGGGAGGATCACTTGAGCCCAGGAGTTGAGAACAGCCTAGGCAACATAGGAGATCTTGTCTTGACAAAAAATTTAAAAATTAGCAGGGTGGCGCATGCCTATAGTCTCAGCTCCTGAGAAGGCAGGGAGAGAAGGATATCTACCTGAGCCCAGGAGGTCGAGACTGTGGTGAGCAGTGATTATGCCACTGTATTCCAGCCTGGGCATCCGAGTGAGACCCCGACTCAAAAAAATAAAATAAAATCAGCTGGCAAGTAAAGGTGGCGCTGAAGTAGGTATGAAGGACACAAGCTTCAGCCTTCTTATCAGACTCTCTGGGTTCAGAGGACTTGCTTTGCCTCAAACTGCCTTAAGATCCTATTCCTACTCTAAAAAATTTAAGCAAGCATTTTCACAGTTTAATATTAAGTTGAAGACAAGCTATATAAGAAAGCAATGTAGATGTATGTCATGCAAATAAAACAAAGTTAATAAAGGAACAAAAAGAAAGATAAAATAGGACTTTATTTCAGTCAAAAATTATTTTCTTTTATTTATAGAAAATAGTGTCCTAACTTGAAATGAAATAGTTTAAAAAGTGTTTATAATATTGAAATTCTGAAATACTGTAGTATACATACCTTGACACAATTCGACCAATTTCCAGAAGACAAAGATACACTTGTCTCGGATCTTTGTGCAAAACTGGAAAACAAGACCACATATTTTAAGCATATGAATTAAACAGACAAATATATTTCTGGATGGAAGAGAGCTAAAAAAAAAAAGAAAGAAAGAAAAAAGAAGAGGAGGAGGAGGAGGAACGGAACAAGGAGAAGAATAATTAAGACAGTGAATTTACTTGTCTGGAGAAAATGCAGAAAAGACATTTTTATTCTCTCTACATATTATTATCTTCCATAAATTATCTTTTTAAAAAACAGCTAACAAGAAGAGAATAAACATTTACCATGGACCCTTATTTGTAATAGCATTTTAAGTCTAAACAATTGGGGGCTTAGTTGATATTAAGTTATTTGTATTTCAGATCTCTGAACAGGAGATACTGTTAAAAGAGATGTGTCACCTCAATTTTATTTTAAACTATCTTTAGCATTTGATGGTGTGCTAATGTCTTTCTCAAACTCTTACAAAAACAGAAGAGGAGGAAGCACTTCCTAACTTATTCTATGTTGCTAGCATTCATTACCCTGATTCCAAAGCCAGATAAAGACATTACAAGAAAAGTAACGATTAGTGGGGCTCGGTAATCCCAGCACTTTGGGAGGCTGAGGTGAGTGGATTGCCTGAGGCTGCGGGTTCAAGACCAGCCCAGGTAACTTGGCGAGATCTCGTCTCTACAATAAATCAAAAATTAGCCAGGTGTGGTAGCGTGTGCCTGTAGTTCCAGCTACTTGGAAGGTTGAGGTGGAAGGATGACCTGAGCCCTGGAAGTCAACGCTGGGGTGGCCATGAGTATGCCACTGTGCTACAGAGTGAGACTCCAACTCAGAAAAAAGGAAAAAGAAAAGAAAACTAAAGATCAATACGCCTTATGAATGTAGATATAAAAATCCTCAACAAAATACTTGCAGACCATATCCAGCAGCATATAAAGATTATATACCATGACCAAGTAGGATTTATACCAGGAATACAAAGTTAGTTCAACATAAGAAAATCAACCAGTACAATACACTACTAACAGAAGAAAAGAAACACATAATAATCTCAACAGACACGGAAGAAGCATTTGACAAAATCCATCATCTTTTCATGATAAAAAAGAATGAACAAACTAGGAATACAAGGGAATTTCTCAGTCTGAAATAAGGACATCTATGAAAAACCTAGAGCCAATCTTTTACCTACAGGGTAAAAGATTGAAACTATTCTTCCTAAGACCAGGGAACAGACAAGGATGTCCACTCTTACCATTATCTATTACCATTATCTTACCATTATCTACTATTCAGCATTGTATTAAAGGAATTAGTCATGGCATTTAGGCAAAAATAAATAAATAAATGGTATCCAGATTGGAAAAGAAGGAAAACTATCTCTATTCACAAATAACAAAATCCTATGCATAGAAAACCCTACAGAATCTACCAAAAAAAAACTATTAGAGCTAATAAGCAAGTTCAGCAAAAGTTGTAGTAAATGACCTCAATACACAAAAATTAGCTGCACACACTAGAAATGAACAATCTGAAAATGAAATTAAGAAAATAATGCCATTTACAATAGCTTCAAAAATAATACTGCACTTAGAATTAAATTTAACCATAAATGTGTAACACTTATACACTGAAAACTATAAAACATTGTTGAAAGAAATTACACACCATGTTCATGGATTGGGAAATAACTGTTAAGAACACAACATTCCTTCAATGGAACCACAAATTCAATGCAGTCTCTATCAAAATTCCAACAGCAATTTTTTCCAGAAATGGACTTACTGATGATAAAATTAATATGGAATTGCGAGAGAAACAGACTAGCCAAGCCAATTTTGAAAAAGAAGTACAAAGTTGGAAGACTCACACTTCCCAATTTCAAAACTTACTATAAACAACAGTAATTAAGAACGTTTTATTGGCGTAAGGATAGACATATAAACCAGTGGAATGGAACTGAGGGTCCTGAAATAAACCCATACATTTATGTACAAGTAATTTCAACGAGGGCACGAAGATAATTCAATAAGGAGAAAACAGACTTTTCAACAGTGTTGGGACAACTGCATATCTACCACACACCACACATAAAAATTAACTCACAATGGATCAATGACCTAAATGTGAGAGGTAAACTATAAAATCCATAAAAGAAAACATAAGTTAAAAATATATATGACCTTGATTGAGCAATGGATTTTTAGGTATGACACCAAAAGCACAAGCAAACTAATTAAAAACAGATGAATTAAACTTCATTAAAATTTAAAACTTTCATGTATCAGTGGATACTATCAAGAAAGTAAAAAGACAACCCAAAGAGTGGGAGAAAACATTTGAAATCAAACTGGATAAGAGTCTAGTACCTAAAACATATAAGTAATTCTTGTAAGTCAACAAAAAAAGATGAATGACCCGATTAGAAAAATGAGCAAAGGATCCGAACAGACATTTTTCCAAAGAAGATATACAAATGGCCAAATAAGCACATGAAAAGATATCCAATGTTACTAGGAAAATGTAAATCAAAACCGCAATGAAATACTTCGTCACATTCACTGGGATGTTATCATGAAAACACAAAACAAACAAAAAACAGACAATAACAGATATCTGCAAGGATGTAGAGAAACTGGAACCCTTGTGCACTGCTGTGGGAATGTAAAATGGTGCAGTCACTTTGGAAATAGTTTGGCGGTTCCTCAAAAATATAAACATAGAATTACATATGACCTGGCGATTCTACTCCTAGGTAAATACCTGAGAGAATTAAAAACATACATTTATCTCAGTCTGAGTACGGTGACTTCGAGAGGTAGAGGTGGGAGGATCACTTGAGCCCAGGAGTTCAAGATCAGTCTGAGCAACATAAAGACTCTTCTCTAAAAAAAAATTTAAAAATTAGCAGGGAGTGATGGTATGCACCTGTAGTCCCAACTACTTAGGAGGCTGAAAGAGAATGATCCCCTGAGCTAAGGAGGTCAAGGCAGTGGCAAGCCGTGACCATGCCACTGTACTCTAGCCTAAGAAACAAAGTAAGATCCCAACTCAAAAAAACAAAAGCACATTCATTTCAAAACTTGTACACAAATGGTCAAAGCAGCATTATTCATAATAGCCCAAAGTGGAAACAATCCAAATATCCATCAGCTGATATATGGATTTTAAAAATACGGTATGGGAAACCCCCTCAGATCCCCTCCCACTATGGGAGCTTTTCTGTCTTCTCAATAAATCCTACTTTCTCAAAGAAAGAAAGAAAGAAAGAAAGAAAGAAAGAAAGAAATATATATATCTACACAATGGAATCTTCTACCATAAAAAAGGATACAGTATTGTTATATGCTACAACATGAATGAACTCTGTGCTAAGTGAAAGAAGCAGACACAAAAGTCCACATATTATATAATCCTACTTGTATTAAATGTTCAGAATATGCAAATGCATAGAAACAGAGACTAGTGGTTACCATGGCATGGGGGCAAGAGAATAACTGGGATTCATTGGTAATAGTTATAGGTTTTCCAGAAATGTCCTTGGATCAGACAGTAGTAATGATTGCACCACACACTCAATATATTAAAAACCTCTGACATTTTAAAATTATGAATTTTATGTGATGCACAGCGTATCTCAATTTTTAAAATGCTATTAAAGAACCCTAATACACTTAAAAAACAGTTAAGATAATACATTTTGTTATGTGCATTTTGACACAATTTAAAAAATAAAAATAAAAGAATCTTCAAAAGAACTGAAATGTAAAGACAAACAGACATCCTCAAAAAAAGGCCAGATCATAGTATGCATGCATGCTAAATGTACTCACAATAGTAGTTTGAATCATCTGCCTTTCAGTTCCGGTCCTTAGAAATTCGGGGAAACTTCCAAGTCCTAATCTTATAACGTGCTCGGATTCCCCCAAGAGAAACCACAGTTGTTCTTTGACTTATGAATAGCATTCACTACATATCCACAAAGTATACTCTCTGAAAGCAACTAAAAAAGCCTATATTTCAGTAATGGGAAATTGTCAGGGGAATGGGGTGGGATTGGCAGTTGAGGGAAACTGCTAGGGGAAGGAGGGGCACACCTCATCAACAAGGGTACCTGCATAGTCAATGTTTGTGTACCTAACCCTGAATTGTACCCCACATTTTTATAATTAAAAATATAATTAATTAATTTTTAAAAAGACGTGAAAAAAAAGAAAATTGTAATGTAGCACACACTTAAAAACAATGCAAAGATGAATGAGATCAAGATTTTACTGTTAGTGTACATACTTTATGCAGGGATATTTAATGTTCATTAAAAGCTGTAAAACATGTGCAACTGATTTTATTTATTTTATTTAAAATTTTTTTTAATTTTAAAGATGTGGGGTACAGTTCAGGGTTGGGTATACAACTGTTCATTATGTAGGTAATGATTTTAAACAGTGTATATACTTCAGTGATAACTTCTTTCCCTATTAATATGTTAGGATACATGGTATAATTCTGCTTTCATCTTTGACAACTAGTACGTTTTTCAAATAACTGGTGAATGTTTTATTCTGCAGAAATTGAAACTTGTTGAGATTCCAGATGTAGGTCATCCTTAGATAACTAAACCTTGAGAAACCGTGTACCTAAGTGCTATTTAGAAGACAAAATGCATAATAAATCTTCTTAATGATTTTAGAACATAATCCTCACAAATACTGCTGCCTTTCCTTAATCTAATAAAAAGAAATTACGTGAATTTTTTTTAAAAACCCTATATTTGAGTTTAAAATTCACACCTGTAAAGGAATTTTTCCTAAAATTGTTATTAAGTCTACTTTTCTAAACACTCAGAGGTACCTTCAAATAGCATTTTGGTCACTTAAAATTGCTTTGAGTTCCTAGCAAAATGTAAAAAATTAAGAGGCTCATCTCTGAGACTTTAGAAAGTGAAAACATTAGCTTATCAGGTCAAAGCCTGGAATGAATTACTGGTATTGTCAGTGCTGTGTTTAGGCCGACACTGACCTGCAGGACAGTCAGAAGACGCTTTCTATGGAGAATGAGAACTAGACAGCAATCGTATCTCCTTTCAGAAACAACTATAATAGCTGGAAACTAGAGAACTCCAAGCATTTCCTCCTCCCTTTCATCCCTGGAAGCCAGATGTGCCGTTAATTGAAGGCCGCTGCCGACAATGATCAGCACACCTGGACTGGCGGCAGGTGCAAACTGAGGGCAGAAGACCAATGTCCTGTCTTCACTCTGCACCAAACAGGAGAGTCCAGAGGCATAGCCTGGACAGAGCAGGAGCAGCTGAACCCGGGCAGGCAGTCAGGGCCTGCACTGCCAGGGGATCTTTAACACAGCGATCAAGCCAGCTGAAAGTCTGTTCGCCTTTTATTATCACCACAAGCAGCAATCCTCAACAACATCTGTGATAAAGTTTCACAGGGGCAGATGACGCCCACAGCCCCGCCCAACATTATAAATTCTGCGTGTGTGCACAAAAATACAAATGCTTTCAAAGTATATGCATATAATCTAGAACTCAGCTCCCACTTTAGTACTACACAGATGCTTCTGTTGGTTTAAAGGAAAAAGAAGTGTGTCACTAATTCTTTAGTAGAGCATGTCTTTTCAAAATGAATTGTCAAAAAACATTAATCCATCTAGATAATCAAGTTGGCATCTGCTATTTACAAGGTAAATCTAAACACTATGAGTGCATATCCTTAGGCCTTCTGTCACTTCTGTAATTATCTGGTTAAAGAGAAATTACCAGTAATTTAAAAGTGGTAGAGTAATTCTTGATGAAAACATTAAATGGTAAAGCGCTGGTCCGGAGCCTTCTTATAGCCAACTCATTTAAGAGGTAAAGTATTCTGGGGACATTCTAGATATGTGAAATATTTAACCATAAATGAAAAGCAATTTAGCGTCTGATCTTCCAACTGTTTTACATATATTTAAAGCATAAACGTTTCTAGGAAAATAAAATGTGGCATTTGAGCCCTTATTTGAAAAGAAAAATTAGAAGTGAGGGATATGAAAACATCTTAATGAACATTAAGAACAACAATGACAACAACACTCACCTAAACCTTCGGATTCAAAGAGATAGGTCTCATCAACCCCAATGTGCCTGCACCAGTGCAGGAAGTTTGCAGTGTTGTCTCGGGCAAAAAACGAGCCTGATGCAGCATCTTTCTTACATGGCACTTTTCTCATTGGAAAATTCTGGAAAAAACAAAAGAATAATTTCAAAAATGCACCAAGGATATTTTCATTAGCTATTAATCTTAGTATTACTAAAAAATGTTCAATACATTGGACAAAACCAAAAAGTACACAACTCTAGGGGTAAAAATTCTTCAAAAACAATTTCATTTGAAGTATTTTCCAGAAAAGAATTCCTTGAAAAACAATCTGGTCAAAATTAGCAGTAGACTCCAGCATCTCTCATCTCTTTCTTTTCAAAATGGCACAGCAAACTTAATTAAAATAAAAAATGACAGCCTAATAATTTCAAAGCATACCTCTATGGTATGTCTTTCCACATAGTTCAACACAAAAAAATACTGCTATGCTAAAAGTTAGCAGGCACTCATTTTTGCTTCCTTCCTTACATTTGCTTCATCAGGGCAGTCCAGTTCTAAGTTTCTTGAGGAAACAATCAAATAAGGAAGTGGCTAGCCATTCTTAATTCAAGTTCTTTGAAAACTGATGATCTCAGTTTTCACAGAGTCTTTGTTTTTGGACTATCTGGCCCAAGGGTATTTGGATAATCCTGCTGAGGGATTTTTTTTTTTGTTCTGATGTGGTTTAAATTTTTACTTGAATAAGCAATTCAAGAATATGATTCTTTAAACACAACAGGTACAGTAGGATATAATAAGACTTCCTCCCACCTCTACCCCCGAGTTCCTCTCTCTCCCTGGAGATTACCAGTTCCTTGTCTATCCTTCCTGTCCCAGAATTAAAATAGCCTTGGGAGATTGTTCCGGTTGAATATAGAATATAAAATCATCGCAAAAAAAAATTTGAACAATACAACAAATACAAAAATGATTTATATCAACTGAAATCCTCTCACCCACACTTTGGTGAGACATCCCCATGCACGGCTATACACTTTATTCTGCAATTTGATTTGGGTGTGTATGTGTGCATGTACCCTTAATGAAAGGTTATAGACATCTTTTGGGGTTGAAAATCACATATTTAAATAATTGTTTCTAATGAATATAATATTCCAATGTGTTTAGTTACCACAATTTTTAACAACTTCTCTGTTGCTGAACACTTAGTTTGTTCCTAATTTTTTTTACTATCATTTTTACAAATTTGTGATTGTTTTCTTTGACTAAATTCATACAAGTAGAATTATGTATCAAAGGATATGCTTTATTTCCAGTGTGATACATACATATATATCTCTCTCACCCACTATTTCCCAGAATAATGATGCCACTTTATATTTCCACCAATGTTATGTAAATGTCCTGACCCTAAACTCTGGAAAACACCTACATTTAATGAAAAGGAAAGAAACCCTATCTACCCCAAATCATGACTTCAGAGTCAATGAAGGAAAGCTGTCTTAAAAAAATGATTATTCATTCAACTAAAATTTACAGAATTTACCACCAAGGCAATATATGGAGAAAACAAAGAAGATAATGATAATACCAGCAGTTGCTCCCTACGTACCAAAAACCATCACAACAATCCTGCAAGGAAAGTACCATGATTGCCCTCAAGAAGCACCAGCCACTGGATAGCTAGTAAGCATCAAGTACTATGCTAGACACCATCAGTACATTATCTCATTTAACTTTACTCAAATCACACAAATAAATCCTACAAGATAAATATTAATATCATCCTACAAAGAAGGACATTTTTCCAGAGGCTCAAAAAGGTTAAGCAAATTATTCGAAGTCTCATAGCCAGCTGGAAGTGTACAACATTGTAGAGACAATAAGAAATGTACATAAACAAATTAATATGTACCAAGACATAAAATCTATACTGTCAAACATTCACTTACCCCTGGTTCTTCAGAGTTGCATGTTTTTACCATGTTTTGAAGAACATCAATCAGTTGGCATAATAGTACTCCATTATCAAGTTCTTCCAATAATTTTTCTGCCTTAACTTCAATACCTAAAAGCATGTTTCAAAGTTAAGATTCTTCTAAAGCCAGTGAGTTCAAACAATAAAATCTAACTCAATGAAATCAGATTATAGCTGAAAACACTAGACAAATATCAGATCAGACTCAAAGCATTCACTCTTAGACGGTAAAATTAAAACAGCAAATACTGTCAAGTTAAATGAAAGACAACTGAAAAAAATATTCATGATGTAGAATTACAGAAAAAAGTTGAATTTCATTTCATTTAAAATGAAGTAAATTCACTGCATGTTAATATTTCCTGTACAAGAATAAGATTCTCTATAAATAAGATGGACTTGGTTGCAGTTTTAAAATTAAAGACAATACCATAACAAATACTCAGGAAATGCCAACTTTCACCTCTAAAATGCCTTCTTTAAAGATTATTATATAATAAATTTTTTAAATTATCCAAATCAACAACCTGATAATCAGACAACTAGAGTGAGTGTTTGGTGAGTGTTTAATGACCTTGACAGGACTATAGATACCTTTAGGATATTCCTTTTCACAAAAACTTTGGTATTCTACATTAAAACATTTATTTAAAATGAGTTGTTTCTGGAGAGAATGTTCAGAGCATTCATTCAATTCTCTAGAGTAAAAACTATGATGCCAGACATTCTCCAACCTGGCATTTCTCCCTAGGCTTCATATGCCTGTACCCCTACCCCTCAATGTCTCAGAAATAGCAATCATTTTAACTATGGTATATATTCCACTCAGAATCTCATAATTTAAACAAGACTAAGGGGGGGGGGAGCAGTTAAAATAATCAGATCGGTAAACTTTTAAAAATGATTTTAATATTAACAATGCAAATGTATTCGGACCTCACTGACCTCCTCAGTTAAATCTCAAATTTCCTACTATTCAAGGCCCTAGGTTGAGTGAATCAGAGTATCTCCCAACTAGAATGTCAGCTTATTGAGATCAAGGGACTGAATATTTTACCCTAACCGTATCCCCCACTGGCATCTATGAGAACAATTCCCTGACAGAGAGTGAGGCTCTCCATAAACACTTCTTGAGTAAGAGCACAGTTTCGGGTATCATCTCAAGCCTTACCTAACAAGCCAGACAGCCAGATGGACAGGTCTTCCTGCATGGGCAACAGCGTGGCTTCATGCCGCACAGCTATCCACTCGTCATACTGACACACGTTGGCCAGGCCCGGGCCGTGTCTGGGAGTCAGAGGACTCCGTGGACTTAGAGGCAGATCTTCTCCAAACCACACCTAGAGAAAACGCCAGTCTGCTGAATGAACGCAATCTGTGCTACAAGACATCATCATCCACTCTACATTTAAACGATGATGTATAAGCCATGTGCAACAGACCTATATACAAACTGCAGCAGCTCACGGGAAACATACTAGTTCAAAGCAAACTTTTAGTCCTAGATACGACAGATGCTTTCAATATTCAGCACTGTGGTCAATGTAAGTAAACCTCTAGTTAACAAATGAATTCTACCATTGAGCCAAGAGGATCCAACTCAACACACAATATTTTGCCTTCCCTTGTTAGCTGAGTGAGTTTATCAAGTTACTTGATCAGAACCTTAGCATCTTAGCTGTAAAAAGGGTTAATGATTCCTGCCTTACAAAATACATTTTTGTAGCTGGCATTGGGCCTGGAAGATAGCAGAGTCAACATTTGCTGAATGAATGTATAACTGGCATTTTGTAAATGTTAAATTGTTATCCTTGTTATCCAGTGCTATCCTTTAAAAAAATTTTTCAAGTACTTTGGTTTAAAACAAGTGGGTGGCAAACTATAGTCCAAGGAGTCAATCTGGTCTGTCACCTGATTTTGTATGGTTTTTACGTTTTACAATGGTTGTTATATAAGTACTTACATAACATCTCAGTTTTGCATATTAGCCTACAAAGTCTAAACTATTTACTCCCTGGCCAATTCCTGGTTTTAAATAAAAATGGACCTGGGTTGGGTGCGATGACTCATGTCTATAATCCCAGCACTTTGGGAAGCCGAGGTGAGAGGATTTCCTGAGCCCACAGGTTTGAGACCAGCCTGGGCAACTTGGCGAGTCCTCATCTCTACAGTAAATCAAAAAATTAGCCAGCGTGTGCCTGTAGTTCCAGCTACTTGGAAGGCTGAGGCAGAAAGATCACCTGAGCCCAGCAGTTCAAGGCTGTGGTGGCCGTGAGCATGCCATTACACTCCAGCCTAGCCGACAGAATGAGACTCTAACTCAAAAAAACAAGCAAACAGGCCGGGCTCGGTGGCTTAGCCTGTAATCCCAGCATTTTGGGAGGCCGAAGTGAGTGGATTGCCTGAGCCTGCAGGTTCAAGACCCACCTGGGCAACTTGGCGAGACCCGTCTCTACAATAAATCAAAAATTAGCCGGGTGTGGTAGCGCGTTCCTGTAGTTCCAGCTACTTGGAAGGCTGAGGCTGAAGGATCACCAGAGCCCAGCAAGTCGACACTGGGGTGGCCATAAACGTGTCACTGCACTCCAGTCTGGGCGACGGAGTGAGAGTCTAACTCAAAAAAAACAAACAAAAAACAAACAAACAAACAAACAAACAAAAACGGACCTAAACATACGATTAAATCAATACTTGTAAAATATTACAATACAATTAGAAATGCTTTAATATAAGATTATTTATAGAAAAGATGAAATCAATTCTTCAATTTGCAAAAGAAACAATCATGTCACCATGAAGTCACTTTTTTGCCAAGTTATATGAATGGCCCTTGTCCTTCCCCTTCCTGAAAGATTCAGGAAGAGGTACTTGAGCCCATATGAGGTAACCAGCATGTTCTCACAGTGGGTGGCTAGAACGGAGTACCAGTGCCTGAGAGAGGTGAGGGGATACCACGTATGGTGACAGCCCTGTGAACCCCACACTTGCACAGTGGCAAACCCTGAGGAGAAGCAGGGCTTCCACCAGGGGAATGGGTGTCAGCATCCAAGGGTGCCGAGCCTCCAACCAGGCGGGGTGGCAGTGACAGTTGAAGTACGGTGACATACATGGAGTTGTTTTCCCAGTGCCAGAGAAGAAAGGAAAAGTGCAGATGCAAGGACACGAGAATGAGGCCTGTAGTGCTGGACTGAGATATCTTCATCTAAAGCAAAGTACTCAAAGAATGTCAGAGTCAGAGAAGCCAACCTCAAGGGATTTCTATTGGCTAAACTGAGGGCAGTTTGAGAATCAAAATAATGACAGAAACAGATTACATCACATGGAATAAAACAGATAACTAGGAGTCCAGACAGATATAAACAAATTGAAAAGTTGGCAAGGAGTAGGATTTGTATTTAAAAAGTTTAAGTGTCTGTACACAGAATACTTTTTACAAGGGGAAAAAGAGTAATTTTACAGAGAGCCTTGTAACCAAGTGCTGATGGTGAGCACCAACAGTAACGGGACACATCGAAATGGTATGCTGCCCAATGGGACGCATCGAGAGAATGCAGCACCCTCCCGTGATGCCCCTGCCTGCGATGCCCCTGCCCGTGACGCATAGCCTGAATCTGATCACGAGAAAACATCAGCAAATCCAGACTGCAGGACATTCTACAAAAGAACTGGCCTGGAATATTCAAAAGTATCAAGGTCATTACAAACAAGCAAAGACTGAGATACTGTTCCAGCCTAATGAAGATTAGAGAGACAGGACAACTAAATGCAGCACAGGATTCTGATTATTGGGACAACTGGCAACACTTGAATATATCTGCCTCCTAAATGGCAGTGCTGTACCAAGTTCATGTCCTGATTCTGATGATTTCATTGTGGCTGGGCAGGAGTGGGAGACGGGCCACTTCCTCTCAAGGGGCTCAGGCAAACAAGCTGCTCTGGCCACACTTGACAACTACTCTGTAGTTGTGTGACTGCTTTAAAAGCTTAAAAAACTCTTCAAAGATGAGGTATATGTATCACATTAAGTATATGTGATACAATCAAATCTAGTCCTTTCCTGATTTTTAAATACAGCTAGTTTTTCCCTTAAAATATATGAAACGTATTTGGGTTCATTTGGGGCAAATCTCACCACACCAAATCAAAAGCTGTAGCCACATTTTAGGTAATCCGGACGAACTTTAAAGAAAAAAACAAAAACCTGTTTCCAATCTCCTAAAATTAAAAATAAACATTTTTTTTCCAAATCCCTGGGCAAAGAAGGAAAATGAATAAACACAAGAGGCATGCAGGAGTAATGAAATCTACTAAAAGTACCCAGTCACGGACACAATGAAACAGAAGTTATTTGAGGGACATTATTTCAGGAATTGACAGTAAGGATTGGGGAATGAAGTCCTAAATACAGAAGGATCCTATAAATAAGAAAAGAGACAAGGTGTTATTTATTTCCCTGAATTCACTTACAATTATTTCCAAGGAAGTACGGCAAAGATTTACTATCTAATTCTTCCCATCATAAGTATGTCTTATTTCTCTGTTTGCTTGTTTTTTCAATAAGGGTGGAGGTGGGAAGGAGGTGAAGGTTCAGAAATTACCTATTGGGTACAATGTTCACACTATCTGGGGAATGGGTCACCTAAAACCTAATCTCCAGCAATACTCAATATGTCCGTGTAATAAACAAGCACGTGTGCCCCTTGAATCTAAAATAAAAATGGGGAAAATGTTTCTACTTGTAACCCTGGGACTCAGCATAATACTTAGCATATTAGTATTCAGTCACAAATATTTGTGGAATAATTAAGGAGTAGATATTGGCAAATGATTCTCTGATATGCATCTTACAATCAGTTACATTTGACAGTCTATGGAATATGCTATTGGTCCTTTAGTTATCTGACCAATGAGCTGAAAAAGGGCAGAGCAGGTGTCAAGGAAAGATGAGCATGAGTGAGGAGGGTGGTTTTTTAAAAATTATGAGTGAAAATGGAGAAGCTAACATGAGCAAAAGTCATTCTTACTTTACGCCACGTTAGAGAGAAGAATACGTGCTGGATTTACCTATTATGGAAAGCAGAAGATTTTATAACAACCTGGGCTAGTCAGTAGCATAGTAATGTTAAAAGTTAGATGTTAACAAAAACTGCATGTATGAAGGGTGTTGTCAAACATGATGAAAGCTGTCATATTGTCAGCTTAACCCATAGGCGACCTACAGATGAACTTAGAGACATAAACTTGCTCATATTTAGACAAAATGGCCTGGGTACACATGGGCCTTTTCTCAGAGAGAACTCATGGCTTTGGCCAGATTCTCAAAGGGGACTATGACACAAAGGAGGTTAAGAACTGTGGTCCATTCACTTTTAGACTGTATGCTTATTTATCAATCAGAACGAGGACCACAGATGAAGGACAAGGACGATCTTAATGTGTTAAGTTAATAAGAAATTAATTGATACCAGCTATTTACTGGATGTCTCCTCTCTGCAAAGCACGTGTGAATAACTAAGTAACTGTCTAATACAGTTAGCAGAGAAAGAGGTGAAAATCCTGGGAAGTTCTCACATTCAACAGGAAGAGAAGCAATCCGTGAGCGATGTCAGCAGTACTCTTGGAGGAGAATCTGTGGAATGTAGCTCACAGAAGGTTTCATGAAACCATAGACACCACTATGAAAAAAATCACCAAACTAAGAAAATATTCATGGCCATTAGTGTAGAAATGAGAAAAGTATGGTCAATTTGGCAGTGACTTTAAACGTTTATAAGGAATCAAGAAAATATAACTGACAAGAAACTACTGACATTTCTGAGACTTGAATAAAAAGGGACAAATAGAAGCAACCAGATCAAAACAAGGTTTGAGTAATAAATTCTGAGCATATTGAAGATGGGGTGAGAGGGCCCAAAGGGGAAGAATAAGACATCTTGGGATAGAATCCATGGACTCCTCAGTCCCAAAGAAAAAAGGAGAAGTCTAGTGGATGCTTTATTGGCAGAAGAGTCAAGAGAGACAGCTGTATAGCAAGGAAGGGGTACAGGCGTCACATGCAAAGCTGTTCTTAACCATTTGAAAAAGAATTCCCTTCCCTAGGCTGTTGTCCACTGTCATCTTAATAAGCCTTCTTTCTTTCTTTTTTCCTTCCTTCCTTCCTTCCTTCTTTCCTCCCTCCTTTCTTTCTTTCTATTAGAAAAGAAGCTTTATTTAGAAAGTAGATTGGAGAAACCTGTTGGATCCACCTCTCCAAGATTGGAGTAGGGTCAGACACTTAAGGAATGTTTGGCCAAGCCTTCTTTCTCAACAAAGAAAGAAAAGGAAGGAAGGGGGAGGGGAGGGAAGGGGAGGGGAGGAGAGGGGAGAAGGAGAGGGGAGAAGGGAGGGACAGAAATGAAGGAACGACAGGAGGAAACTTTCATGGCCCATGTACTATCTCCAGTTTGATATCTGGATAATTTTCTTGTCCAACCAACAGTACAACCAAACTTCCCAAGTGCCTACCGGGCAATATACATTCCAGTAGGCGCTCCGCATATATTACCTCACTGATCCCTTATAACTACCCTGCAAAATAAGAACTATTATCCTCATCTGAGAGGTAAAGAAGCAGAGACTCAAAGAGGTAAAATAATTTGCCAGAATCTTACAGAGCAGCAGAACTATGACCAGAACTAAAATCTTTGACTCTCAAGTTCTCATTTTCCAGAGCAAATTTTACTACTGCTTGCATCTTTCTAGCTAGACCTTCAATGTGACTTTTATCTTTAAGATAATATTCAGTCACGTTCTGTTTGCAACAAAAGAGAGAAAGCTTTAAAAAAAAAAATAAGGATATTACAGCGAACATCAACCCTGGAAACCATTCGGATACAAGATGATTCCGGTTTGTCCATCTCATCACACCCAGTTGCCTCCCCCACCAAAAAACAACAATCAAAATTCTTAAAATCTTAATGCCTAGACATATATCAGCATGTACATAGCACACAGTTATCTAAAATTAAATACTTATATTCATTTTCACTGAAAACTCTTTTGAGAAACACACACCAAATGGATGAGGGGAAAACGAGGAAATATTCCAGTTCTTTTCCCTGGGCAGTAGAAGTAAGATTTTCCCACTGACTCTCAGGGATTTTTGACTCTTACACATATTCAGTGCCAATGAAAGCTTCCAATTAAAATCTTTTCAGAACTAGAAAGTCAAACTGTAATATTCTCCTTATTAAAATGTGATGCTTAAAAACACTGTCACAATGAAAACATTTTGTGATGATTTTGGTATTTTACTAATTATCATAATTCAATTATATTAACCTTATAATTTAAAAGTAATTTTTTCCCTAAAGAAAGCACTTACCTGAATTGCAGGCTGCATGGTCATCTATTTGAGATGAAATCGCTTTTCTGAAAACAGAACAAGATATTAGCCAGCAGACAATGTAGCTTTCCTACTCCCCAAAAGACCCAAATGACAAGATTTAGGAATGCGTGTTTCTCTCCTATCTGACTGGAAACCGAAAACGGGGTTTCTTCTAGTTGGAATAGTTTGCCTATAAGAGAATTCAATAATCATCCTTGCTTCTTACTTCATAAAGGTGCTCTTCATCTGAAAAAGGAAGATCTGCAATACACTTTAAAATGCAGCTCCTGGTATTAGTACCAAAGTAATTCTTGAAGCATCTGGCCAATAGAATAAAGTTAACAACAAAATGTAGCTCATTTAAAAGTCTCCTAGAATTTTATTGTCACCTGTAAACATAATGTAAATGTAAGTATTACAACTGATATAGAAAGTCAAGTATCTTTCATATGATCTTCACAGAGATCATAAGGTCATCTGGACTTTGTATAAATTTACAAGCCCAATCATAAGCTTCTTCTGCTAGACAAGGCAATAAAGATGAACATCAGTTTTAACTCTGAACCAAAAATACCCAGTGCTTTCCTACAACAATTTTTCAAAGACAAAAACCAGAGGAACAGCAATTTTTTAGCTCCAAAGTACTATTCTTGAAGTCTGCAAGGAAAAGCAAACTGTAATTAAATGAGGTTAATGCAAGTCTTCAATGTGTTTCTAGGGGAAAAAATTAATGATCTTAAAAACACTCAGAATAATACACTGTATAAAACCCAGAATTTTTGATTGCTTATAGCAGCATAAGCCAGTCTACTTTTTACTGTAAATCACCACCAAAACATTCTAAGAAAAAAAAGTACAACTACAAGGTTACAATGCTGTCACTTTCCAAGGAAACATTGTTTTCTTCTCTAAGTTGCATCAGACATACCTCACGCATGGCGCCAACTACACACACCATGTTCCTTTCAGGAACATTTCTTCTGGTACCAAAGTTGACCCTGAGTTCAACTCTCCTGAAAAGCCTAATATTATACCACATTTTCTTTGCAGGAAGGCAAAAGACAACAGCATGTTCTTTTTGATGTCATTTTCTCTTTTCTCTGCCACAGCAAAAGGCCAAAGCACAAGAGAGCATTACTAATAAGCTTGTTATGCTTCCCACGAGCTAATTCAGTGGGGAATACATTTTCCTTTAGCATAAATAATCTTTTGTCCCCAACAAAGAGCCACAGTAAGAAGCTTCCGAGACCATTTTTTAAAAATGCAGCAGAGAAGCGGCTCCCATTAAAATGGAGTTCCACATAATCAGACAAGAGCTTTAACAGTTGGAACTGCCAACCCCAAACAAAAGCAAGTCTAAATTATAAGGCGTGTGCAGATCAAGAACACTGACACATTCACAAAGAAACCATCACAAGAATGCTTCATAGTTGCACTTTTTATGGAAAATTCAACAAAATTAGTTTTAGGAAAGAAATTTTTAAATTGTGCACAATATTTGGTCACTTGAACTTTAGCAAAAGAGGCTTTAGTACATACATATTTTTCAAATTATTATAGAACTAACAGAACTTTTAAGATGGCAAAAATATAACCAGCTGGTTTACTTTTAAAAAGGAAAATCTTTAATAAAATATAATTCAGATAAGTTACAATGTATCTCCACATATTAAAATATATACATGAATATTTTATTGAAAACTTGTAAAAATTGATGAGACGGTATTAGTCAATCATCAATTAACACTATGCAACAGACAGCAAGTGCCAGTTTTTTACATTTTCTAGTCATTCTGAAACATTTTTGTGTCTCAGGCATTTAATCCCATGAGTAGCCTCTTAGCTGCCCCCAGACTGTTATGCCAATCACAACTCTTAATTCTCACTCATTTTATCATCTATTTTCCCTTTTCTAGCTTTCCCTAAAAGTCTCAGTCTCTATTTGTTCCATACAAATCAATTATACTGAACCAGCAACACTTCACTTTTGGAGCTGCATATTAATTAGCCATGTATTGACCTTATTTTGTTTTTGTCTTTGTCTTTTTGGAGTAGTTTACATCAAATCTTTACCAACTTGAGGAAGTCTCTTCCCTTAAACTATACTCCAACCCTGTCAGGAATCCTTCACAAGACAAGCTTATGGCCAGGCACGGTGGCTCACACCTATAAACTCAGCACTTTGGGAGGCCGAGGTGAGAGAACTTCCTGAGCCCAGAGGTTTGAGACCAGCCTGGGCAACTTGGCGGGACCTCTACAATAAATCAAAAAACTAGCCAGGAGTGATGGTGCATGCCTGTAGTTCCAGCTACTTGGAAGACTGAGGTGGAAGGATCACCTGAGCCCAGCAGGTCAAGGCTGTGGTGGCCAGGAGCATGCCACTGCCCTCCAGCCTGGGCAACGGACTGAGACTCCAACTCACACAAAAAATAAAAGACAAGCTTATACACAGATCTTAGTTAAGAATACTGTACGCAAAAGTTGGGGAAATGTTAGAAACACAAGATGTGCTTCCCGAAACTTGACCGGGACTTGGGCCTAACCCACTCATCTTAAAAAGTATTATTCACGAGGCCTCAAGATTACTTACATCAAGGCTCTTCATTCCAGTTTGGCTTCAGATCACAATGGGACAAAAAACGCCAGCTGTTGAACTGAGCCTTGACCCAAAGCTGTAGGCTCGGAAACATAGTACACTGTCATTCCTCTCCCCGGTCATAAGGTCCGATGGGGAGAGCTCGATGTGTCACGGCTCGATCTTGGCCAATCGGGGTCAACCAGGAAGAGTGACAAGAAAGCAAAGACCTAAGGTAGTAATTCTGTTTCTTTAGGAAAAGAGGAACACTGATTGCCACTGCACCAGATGTCTGTTCAGCACTCTGCCAACAGATTGCTACCAAGACACACGAGCTGCAAGGACATGAGGAAGCTGAGTCTGTGGCTGCCACTGAGGAGGGAAGGAGAAGGAGGGTGGAGCGTGTGCAGGGCCCTTCCACTCACTCACCATATTTTATTTCAGCTAAGTGATGAGAACACAGGTGTTTTGACACTGGTCGGTATGCCTTTCTGAATGTCAAATAATATTTCACCATCTTTTTTTTTTTTTTGAGTTGGAGTCTCACTCTGTCGCCCAGACTGGAGGGCAGTGGCCGCTCCCGGCCACCGCAGCCTCGACCTGCTGGGCTCTGGCGATCCTTCCGCCTCAGCCCTCCGAGTAGCTGGAACTACAGGAGAGCGCTACCACGCCTGGCTAATTTTTTGATTTATTGTAGAGTTGCCCAGGTGGGTCTCGAACCCGCAGGGTCAGGCAATTCACTCACCTCAGCCTCCCAAAGGTGTGGATTACAGGCTGAGCCACCAAGCCCAGCTTATTTCACCATTTGTAATGCTACGTTTAGAAAAAGTTGAAGAACATACCCTTTCCGATATGCTTAGGAAAAAAAGTTTCTCTGCTTAGAATTTTGAGTTAAGCATTTCCTAGCTTCCTAATACAGAAACTGAAATGCTATATCTATACCAAACATAGTTCATATATTTTTTAATAACTCACCATAAAGACAGCACTGTGGCAGCAGAAAGCACCAGACACATTTAGTCTGAATTCCAGCTCCAGTATATACTAGTTATATGGCCATGGAGTAGCTGGCTTCTCTGAGTCTCAGTGTTCTCTTCTGTGAAATAGGATAGCACCACCTCCTTCTTATGGCTGCTGTAAAAATTAAATGAGATGACACATATAAAGTATGTGACACGTAGTGAGAACTTAAATGAGTTATTATTAATACTATGATGAGATACAATTATAGTTCATTTAATATAATTGAATCAAAAAGGGACAAGAAAACAAAACTAATGATATTCAGATATTATTAAGCATAATCTGTAAATCTTCCTTAATTAACATAAAAATATATGTGGTTACAAGTAAAAGGAAAAGTTTCAAAATATGTCATAATTAGCTGAGATACAAATTCTCTTTTCTAGAATAAGTCTTCAAGAATTTGTTTAACACAGGCTCTTTGCACCATTCAGCCCGTCTCATCAATGTCCTTTTTATCTATTTGCTTGTTTCTGGGGTTATCTCACTGTTTGGACAATATCCTTTTTCATGTGGTACATACTCATTCATTTATTCAACAAGCATTTATTCTTCCCTTTATTGAAGTAGGCATCATAGGCAAGAGACACAGTTAGGAACATAACAAACATGTTACTGCTCTTATGGAGCTAATACACCAAGTTGGGAAGATTGAAAATAGCAAATACACAGACAAATACACAATTTTAAATCATGATAATTGCTCTGAAGGAAAGAACAGAATGGAAAAAGAGCAGGAGAGCACTCTAGATTTAGAATGTCAGTTGATTTTGCTGGAGGGAAAACAGAATTTGAAGAATGGTAGGAATCAGCCCAGGAATGAAGACAGAGTTTCGTGCATAGATGATAATTTTTGCAAAGACTCTGAAAGAGTTTGATACATTCTAAAAACTGAAAGAAGCCCGTATGACTGTAGCGTGTGGAATGTGTGGCTTAGGACAGGGTATTAGGCCTGGCCCCATCTCACAGGCCGTGTGGAGGAAGTTGGGTTTTGTCCTAAAGGCAGTGGCAGCCACTACTGGGTTTTAACCCAGGGTGGGACTCCATCGAATTCACATCACCAGAAGGGCTCCCTGCAGAGAAGCAAAGGGCAGGAGAGTCAAAGGGGCTGAACAAGAAAGGGGAAACAGAAAGCCAGGCAGAGGAGATGCAGGAAAAAGAGTGAGTGAACACCACAAGAGGAGCAGGAGAGAGGGCCGAGAAGGCGGGGCAGGAGGGAGGAGCCTGTGGGAAGTGGGATGGGGCGGCCTGGAGGGCCCACCCCGCCGCTCAGCACCAGATGAAGTGGCCCTGTCAGGCCAGGATCTGACACCACGGAGAGGTGGGGATGGATGGAGAGGTGGGGTGCACGCGACACGTGACACATCTGGAGTGAGAGGCCACAGGACTTGGGAAGGGCTGAGAAGGAGGAGCAAAGAAGAAGGTGGACGGGCACTGTGTCCAGAACGCCTCCCAGGCCTCAGGCCCAAGCAGTGGGCGAGGAGACGGGGTGGCATCAAGGACGCCGCTGGCGAGCAGACCAGAAAGGGACACAGCAGATGGACCGGGTGCTGTGTGCTGGCCTTGTTCAGTTTGAGAAGCCTTGAAACATTCAGGTAAAACTGTCGGGAGGCAACTGGAAATCCTAATACAGAACTAGAAAACAAATCAGGAGGACACAGCAAGTATCAGCACATCCTTGGGAGTTAACGACATTGGGAAGAATGAAATCATCCAAGAAGTGAAGGGTGGAAGAACAAGACCTGTGAAAATCCAGCATGCACACATCGGAGGAGTCAGCAAAAGAGCTTGAGAAGACATCACTGGAGAGTCATCTCGTCACCTTGACCAACCCAGGCTTACACTTTCTTTCAATTACCCCTCTCTGGTAGCCCTTCCCGATGGTTCTGAATTCTGATGATCTTCAGCTCTTGAACTCACATGATCCTACCAAACACTAGCCCGTAAGGTGAGTGTGCCTCTAGAGTTATTTCTGGGCACGGCTTGGCCACGCGACTTCTGGACTGCTATTGGAAACAGTGTTGGCAGAAGCGTTCAAACCTCAAGTTTAGCAAACAGTCTTCGTGGGAGAACCTTGAAAAATCCCTGAAAAAGTGGTTGTCTCCTTTCGCCACAGTATTTCTGCTAAAGAAGAAAACCAACCGCAAAGTTTAGAAGCAGTCACACAGTAGACAGGCATCTGACGGGGTGCATTTTTGATATTATTTATTACTATTTACTATATGACCTGAATTAGGACTTTGCCTCTCACCCAACAGGTCCAAGGTAAAATATGTAGTGATCACGGTCAAGAGACCAGTAGGTCAAGTGAGGCACCTGACAGATTTAACTGAGGAAGCACCAAGAAAAAAAATGACTCCAGCTGGTGGGTAGGTAGAGGTTCCAAGTGGCAGGACAGAACAGCTGTGCCAAGGGGCTAGGGATCTGACCAACCGCTTCTCAGGAACTCACACGACTGCCCCAGCGGACAAGCACATTCTTATCATATCTTAAACAAACTCCGTCTGGTCTGTGGTAGACAGAATAATGGCCCCCCAAGCTGTCTACATCCTCATCCCCGGAACCTGTGACTCTGTGAGCTTACAAGGCAAAAGGGACCTTGCCGCTGAATTCAGTTAAGGATCTTGAGATGGGAGTTTATACAGGTGGGTCCAATGTAGTCACGAGAGTCCTTACAAGAGGGATGCAGAAAGGTCAGCATCATA